GTAAGTCCTGTCACTCTGTTCTTGTCCGTCCCCTTCTAACCCACTGTAAAGGGCATTTGTCATGCCTTTGATGCATCAGGCATCTTGAGCTGGAACTATATACTTTTAATAGACAAATCAGCACATGATGGGCGAGGTGGTCAACATTACGCCGATCGCCTTTACTTCTATGGACGTTACCCGGTACCCATTTAGGCTAGGTCGACGTGAGAGCCAAGGCCAATTTTTTAAGAAAAAATATTTTAATGGGGATTTGAACCTTTAACCTTGGGCGGCAGGCGAGCACCGTACCACTGTGCACTGCGGTTCCAAAAGGCCATGAGTGGGATACATGATCTGTTGATTTTTTATAAATAATTTGTTTATTATTTATGAATAATTTGTTGATTTTTTATAAATGATCCTCTGACTGTGTACATATAATTTTTGATTGTGTACTCTTCTACACTAAGTCGATGCGAACGCTTCGTAATGCCGGAATGACGGGTTCGATCCCAGCTGCGGGCCATGCGCCTTGCGTTGGTTTCGATAGTTGTATCAAGAAAGCCGACCGTCCAAAAAGCAATGGCAAACTACTGGACGTAAATTTGCCTAGAAAAACCACAAACAGCCAGGGGCTGTTGGAGTTGGTTCTGCAACGTCCTGTAAAGGATGCCAAACTAACCAAACTCTTCTACACAAACACACACACTTTGTGCTCATACCTCTGAGCGAAGAACATACTCCTTGAACGTACTTTTGTCACGTCATGTGACAACTTCCGGCTAGCATATTATTGAGAGCTGCCACCCCTCCATTTGAAATTAGGCTTGTGCTAGACATATCTTTACAGACCAGTTGACACTTGGTGGATGATCATGCCGGACACCTCTGCTTCCCATGATATTCTTCTTCTTCCACTTCTTCGCTTTCTCTTGTACCTCTCTGTGTGTATTTGTATCAACTTGTCGATCTCTCCATCCCTCCTTCTATTCCAGCTTCCCTTCCTGTGTGTTTGTGTGTGAGAATGTATATTCTCACGTTCGTTCGTTCGTCCCTCACAAGTGATGAAGACCCCTCTATCTTTCACCCGTCATAAAACTGCAGTTGAATGTTTATGACTCCGGAGGTGACTGATAAGTCCAATACGTGCCTAGAAGAGCCTAAGACAATGATGGCAGGGCACAGTGTCTGTACACACAGAGCCTGAGTCTGTGTGAATGTCCTTACTCTATGACTTTTTGTTTTGATTTATTTCGACTTTTTTGTCAAGAGAGATATATGACCGTGCTTCTCGTTCTGCTGGCCTTCTAGACCACAGACACATCATGGTGTTGTAGTAGAGTTTCTCTGTTGCTATCTTTCTATACTGTTCTTGATCTACCTCGCAGTCCACATCCTTCTCCTCTTTTGCTGTGTTCCTTGTATAGTATGGTATCACTTGCCCCATCAGTCATCTTCCTACGCATACTTGATGAAGAAGGGTTGTCATCATCATCTTGATGGACAACACACATTGGTCTTACAAGGACTCCTCTCTCTAAGTAAGCACACAGTTTAATTTGCTCTCTGTGTTTGGTATTACCTGCTACATAAATCTGAACTGTATCATCTCTGAACCCCAGTCATATTTATTTAACCCCCAGCCCCCCCCCCCCCCCCCCCCCCCCGTTTTTCCCCTACCTCCTTCACGCCCCTCACCCCCACGCCACTCTTTTTCCCCTCACTTTTTACTACTCTGATTCGAACTGAGACCTTTGTCCCAACAGACCAGCATCCATCTGTCGTTGTTACTGCAGTTCCCTAAATGTATTTATACATCTTGTTCACAGAAACACACATTGTCTGAGTGTTGCTGTTTTACGTATTAGAATAAAATAAACTTAACGATTCAGTAGTTTAGGTTTAAGTAACAAGGGGATATAATTTACTCGATGTATAAATAACAAAGGGAATTAACTCACCCCGTACAGAACTATTTTATCTCTGACATTGTTCCTGTTATCTCCGCAGGTTTTAAAGTTAATTGCTTTATAGTCTCTAAAATGTGAACTGAAATAATGTAGTGGTGTCTCCTGCTGTTTTTGTGCGAGTACAATCGATAAAATGTGAACTCATTTGTTGGCAGAGAGAGAGAGAGAGAGAGAGAGAGAGAGAGAGAGAGAGAGAGAGAGAGAGCCACCAACTTCGTTCCAATATGGGACACAATTTATTTTCTTTGCAATCCCGTCCCAGAATGAGTCGCAATTTATTGTTATTGTAAAGCCCTTATATAATCTAACGGTGAAACGGGGTTTCTGGACATTGTGTATCCGGGTGATTCTCATCCGAATGGTGGCACTTTGTGTCACCCGCTGTTTGCCATCGTGCGGTCCTGGTGGGGGTTGAACTTCACACACACACACACACAGAGCGAGAGTGCGAAGCTACAACATCTTTCCCATCCCTACTTTAGACTGCTGGTTACTTCGCATTCACAAGGGTAATCCCACTACAGTGCACATATGATGAAGCGCACTGACGGCGATACAACAAATGGTTCTTTTTATCAGAAATTCCTCTTATCCGGATAAGAGTTCAAGCAAGAAACATTCTCTAGGACAAGCGAATCGTTCTTCACATCCGAGATCGCCTTCAGCGGTCTTCACAGCATAACTATTTTGAAAGTTTGAACAGCATTTCTGGGTTTTTTGTCCGGTTTGATTCTCACTCTTGAGGTGTTGATCCTACCCACATCGATCCTGGATTCCCATCCAGTGACGGACGGATCCAGCGAGATAAGCGCACACAGAGATAGAGAAACCGATATGGGACAAAGAAAGACAAGAGAGAGAGAGAGAGAGAGAGTAACACACACGGACTCTCAAAGACAGGCAAAGACCCAGTCAGAGAGAGAGAGAGAGAGAGAGAGAGAGAGAGAGAGAGAGAGCGAGAGAGAAAGAGAGAAGTATTACTAAACAAACTAATAACGTTTATCCTTCAAGAGTTCACACCTTTGCCTTCTGAGTTCTATTGTAAACAAAAGTCACATTTTAGTGCTTGCTGTTCAATTCTGTGTGAATAACTTCTATAGGATAAATGAACGTGGCGCCCACAGTTCTGAACCCTTCCTTCCCTGCAGGGGTACACGTGAACATTTTATGTTTCACACATCTTCACCCCACGAATCCCCTTTAAAAATGTTTTTTTAAATCTTTGAATATTAAAAGAGACTAATAGAAGTTTGCTTTTCAGTTCAATCAGGCACTGGTTGGATGTTTTGTTGGGTGTGATTCTCCTTCATTGTTCTTCTTCTTCTTCTTCTTCTTCTTCTTCTTCTTCTTCTTCTTCTTCTTCTTCTTCTTCTTCTTCTTCTTCTTCTTCTTCTTCTTCTTTTTTTTCTTCTTCTTCTTCTTCTTCTTCTTCTTCTTCTTCTTCTTCTTCTTCTTCTTCTATTTCTTCTTCTTCTATTTCTTCTTCTTCTTCTTCTTCTTCTTCTTCTTCTTCTTCTTCTTCTTCTTCTTCTTCTTCTTCTTCTTCTTCTTCTTCTTCTTCTTCTTCTTCTTCTTCTTCTTCTTCTTCTTCTTCTTCTTCTTCTTCTTCTTCTTTTTCTTCTCCTCCTCCTCCTCCTCCTCCTCCTCCTTCTTCAGGTCTGAGAAAAAGAACATCTAACTTTGTCAGTGTCTACGACTGAATGGTTATGAACAATAATGATTGCGGGTTACAATCAGATGTAGGTTACTGAAGACCGCTTTACGGTGATTTTAACAAAGGTGTTAGCGTCGCATGGCTTCAAAAAAATGCGAACTACTAAAGGTAAAACAGTATAGCAAAATCTCCAAAGCCAACAAAGCCTAGGGTTGGTTTTTTCGATGTCCTGTAATGAAACCACGTTAACATAAATCACACGAGAATGTCTGTATGTCTGTCTGTCTGTCTGGCTGGCTGGCTGGCTGGGTGTCTGTCTGTCCGTCAGATTATGAAGCTTAAATAAACGGCCAGTCACGGTGGGTTTGGGACTGAAAACGTTACTAGAACCGTTAGCTGAGTGCTCATTTTAAGCGAGTTTGTGCGTTAAAGTCTTTTCTGTAGCATATCCTTTCAGGCAACGACCTCAGTTATCTCCTGTCGGCAATTTTTACCATGTGGGTGATTCAGATGTTACTTAGCTTAGCAAATGTTTCTAGTTTTAAGGACTTGTTACTGTCTCCAGCCAATGTTTCTTGTGGATCTGTTGGCAGTGCTTGTAACGATTTCCTTGTGTACAGTTGAGACATCCAGGGCGTTACTGTTTATTCAAGAAGCTGAACGGGTTATCGTGACATCTACCTGATCTCGGTGACTGCTGTTTCTTAGTCATTCTTCCTGTACTCTGCTGCACCTATTGGTGTACTTTTTGTGTACCCGTTCTGCACTTACGGGTGTTATTGTTTTCTTTTTCACCCGACCGAACCCGAGTGTTCCACATGAGGGCTTACAGTTCTAACCGTGCTATCCACATCATCCACTACGTGCCGATTGATCTATAAAGTATAAGTCAGAACACATAACGTAAGTCTTATTACGCCCCGCACATATATACACTAGCTCACTTCTGATTGGTAGTTCCTGAACCTGTCACCTTGGCACAAGGTTACGGGGGTGTTTCGTGATACCGTTGATATCTCATGTTGTATATTTCAGCACGCCAACGCCTTTAACACTCCATAAAACATGGAGAAACTGATCCTAACGGAACTCCCCCTCCCCACCCCCATAGAGAGTGCTGCAACCTATGTCACAGGCATTCACTTTCTCGGAATGAAAACGTAAATGCAAGACATCACATAAAGCAAACAAAAGAGCGGGACACACCCGTAACCTTCAGTAAATACAACCAGCCCAACAAACTCGTGAATGAAAAGTGACTTATCTATTTAGGGAGACTAACGTAAACCTAACCTATAAGTCTAGCCTTATATGCCCAATGCATCTGAAAGCGTCCTTTACTTTCCACAGCCGCTCCTCTATGTTTTGTCTATACCGTTATAGACTTTTCATCC